TATGTATGTATGTATGTATGTATGTATGTATGTATGTATGTATGTATGTATGTATGTATGTATGTATGTATGTATGTATGTATGTATGTATGTATGTATGTATGTATGTATGTATGTATGTATGTATGTATGTATGTATGTATGTATGTATGTATGTATGTATGTATGTATGCATGTATGTATGCATGCATGTGGTGTGTATTTGTGTATGTATATGTGTATGAGTGTGTGTTTCTGTGTATGATACATTTATATGTGAATGTATGTGTATACCGTCCGTGCTCATAATTGAAGAATTAATCAAGTAACAGAAAGTATTGTGAACGGCACTCATAGAAAGAAGTAGAAAGATAGAAGAACACACTAGACAACATAAAAATCGAAAGCTATAGTTACCGTGCCGGGAATTGAATCTGTCACATCAAGGCGGCGTCTGCGCCTCGCCATGAATACAAGTGCACTAAGATACATGGTCAACTAGGCACCCCCAAAAAAGGTGTCTTATTGGCCATGTCTATCGTACAGCTTGAAATCCACGACTATGGAATACGGACAGAATTCATTTCAACCCATTGAAATGGCACCATAGGTTACAGAAATTTATATTAACGAAGCAAATGTCGAATAACAATCACAGCAACAATTTACGAACACAGTAAGACCTTATTGCTTTGTCTAGAACACACAAACATTTAAGAAAGGTATTTGATTGGTAGGTTCCGGTGTGTATACGTCATTCCTATAAATGAACAGAGGGTGGAACCATTTGAGGCCGTTAAATATTATGAATTAATCAAGTAACAGAAAGTATTGTGAATGGCACTCTGTTTATTCATAATTAAAGAAGAATTTATTGTTAATTTTACGGTGACATTTTAAGAGATTCGATTCCTAATGAAAACAGATTGCCCATCATGTAACAAGAATCAACAAAGCTAAAGTCTCGGGCTATGGGCTTGGTCTCTCGTCTTATTTGCGTACTGAATCCGAAATCTTTCCATTTAAGATTTGGTATTCTTCTAAGGCATTTGTTCTCAAAGTTACACATTTTTTTTTTCTAGAGTTACCTTTGCTATCCAACCGTCACACCCGTAAGTTAGCACTGGAATCATATAACAGTTGAAGATGTTAATTTGTGTGTGATCGATGAGTCTCCTTGACCTCGAGATGGTTTACATTTCGTTAAAGACACTAGATCCCAGTGCGATTCTAGATTATATTTCTGGCGCTGAGTCCCTATAAGATGTCATCTTACTTCCTTGGTGTATGAAGCTGTTGACTTTTTCAAGAATGTGATTGTTTAGTTTGATTTCGTCTGAACTATTGGTAAGATCAACATTTTTGTGTTTGCGGTGTTTATTTGGAGATCGATTTGTCTTTAAACCTTTTGCTGATGGTTTGCTTTCTCTCAGATGTCTGTTTACGTTGAACTGGAATGCACTATGCCGTCAGTAAAGTCAAGGTCTTCTAGAACTGAAGAAACATCTTTCAAGAAATCCTAGCTGGAATCAGGTGACGATTTAGAGAAGAGCAGCAGGGACTATGGGAGACTAACCTAGACGGATGGCAAGCAGAAGAGAACAGACGACTGGTTGGTCCTCATAAGGATAGATCATTGCCAGGACTTACAGATCAACATCAAAGATTCAGCAAAGAATACCACCTGAAGCCACAAACTTTTCCTTACGTCTAGAAATGTCCCCACATGCGTCAGAATTAATTTTTCGAGTAATTAATATTGGCTTCCAACTTCCCTCATTCTAAATTTTATATGAAGTATCCTGGGAAATGTCACGGGAAATATCCCAAAATTATCACTGTACATGTTCTGGAAACGTCATGGGACGTAATATGGTAAATATTATGGGAAATCTGCTAGGCACTAACATGGTGAATATTATAGGAAATGTCTTTGGAAATAACATGGTG